CCTGTATCCAAGTGATCTCATTGTTCAATTCCCACCTATGAGTGAGAACATGCGGTATTTGGTTTTCTGTTCTTGCGATAGTTTGCTGAGGATGATGGTTTCCAGCTGCATCCATGTCCCTACAAAGGACACAAACTCATCCTTTTTTATGGCTGCATAGTATTCCATGGTGTATATGTGCCACATTTTCTTAATCCAGTCTGTCACTGATGGACATTTGGGTTGATTCCAAGTCTTTGCTATTGTGAATAGTGCCACAATAAACATACGTGTGCATGTGTCTTTATAGCAGCACGACTTATAATCCTTTGGGTATACCCCCAGTAATGGGATGGCTGGATCAAATGGTATTTCTAGTTCTAGATCCCTAAGGAATCGCCACACTGTTTTCCACAATGGTTGAACTAGTTTACAGTCCCACCAACAGTGTAAAAGTGTTCCTATTTCTCCACATCCTCTCCAGCACCTGTTGTTTCCTGATTTTTTTAATGATCGCCATTCTAACTGGTATGAGATGGTATCTCATTGTGGTTTTGATTTGCATTTCTCTGATGGCGAGTGATGATGAGCATTTGTTCATCTGTCTGTTGGCTGTGTGAATGTCTTCTTTTGAGAAGTCTCTGTTCATATCCTTTGCCCACTTTTTGATGGGGTTGTTTTTTTCTTGTAAATTTGATTGAGTTCTTTATAGGTTCTGGATACTAGCCCTTTGTCAGATGAGTAGATTGCAAAAATTTTCTCCCATTCTGTAGGTTACCATCACTCTGATGGTAGTTTCTTTTGCTGTGCAGAAGCTCTTTAGTTTAATTAGATCCCATTTGTCAATTTTGGCTTTTGTTGCCATTGCTTTTGGTGTTTTAGACATGAAGTCCTTGTCCATGCCTATGTCCTGAATGGTATTACCTAGGTTTTCTTCTAGAGTTTTTATGGTATTAGGTCTAACATTTAAGTCTCTAATCCATCTTGAATTAATTTTCGTATAAGGAGTAAGGAAAGGATCCAGTTTCAGCTTTCTACTTATGCTAGCCAATTTTCCCAGCACCATTTATTAAATAGGGAATCCTTTCCCCATTTCTTGTTCTCTCAGGTTGTCAAAGATCAGATGGCTGTAGATGTGTGGTATTATTTCTGAGGACTCTGTTCTGTTCCATTGGTCTATATCTCTGTTTTGTACCAGTACCATGCTGTTTGTTACTATAGCCGTAGTATAGTTTGAAGTCAGGTAGCATGATGCTCCAGCTTTGTTCTTTTGCTTAGGATTGTCTTGGTAATGCGGGGTCTTTTTTGGTTCCACATGAACTTTAAAGTAGTTTTTTCCAATTCTGTGAAGAAAGTCATTAGTAGCTTAATGGGGATGGCATTGAATCTATAAATTACCTTGGGCAGTATGGCCATTTTCACAATATTGATTCTTCCTATCCATGAGTATGGTATGTTCTTCCATTTATTTGTGTCTTCTTTTATTTCACTGAGCAGTGGTTTGTAGTTCTTCTTGAAGAGGTCCTTTACATCCCTTGTAAGTTGGATTCCTAGGTATTTTATTCTCTTTGAAGCTATTGTGAATGGGAGTTTATTCATGATTTGGCTCTCTCTTTGTCTGTTACTGGTGTATAAGAGTGTTTGTGATTTTTGCACATTGATTTTGTAGGATTGGTTATTCTTAAATACAGAATATGAATCCCCATTTAGAGACATATTAGACCTGAATTTCAAAGGGCCGTTTAATTTTTATTTTTTAGAGGCAGGGTCTCACTTTGTCACCAAGGCTGGGAGGCAGTGGAGAAATCACAGCTCACTGCAGTCTTGACCTCCTGGGTTCAAGTGATCCTTCTGAGTAGCTGGGACTACAGGTATATGCCCCCATACCTGGCTAATGTTTTTCTTTTTTTAAAAAAGATAGGGTCTCACTATATTGTCCAGTGCCCCGGCACACCTTGACTTCCTGGGCTCAAGCGATCCTCCCAAGTAGCTGAGACTACAGGTACATCCCTCCATACCTGGCCAATCCTTTCTTCCTCCTTCTCTCCCTCCCTTCCCTTTTTCTTTTTCTTTTTAGAGACAGGGTCTCACTATATTGCCCAGGCACACCTTAAACTTCTCAGCTCAAGCAATCCTCCTGCCTTGGCCTGCCAAAGTGCTGGGATTACAGGTATCAGCCACCTTGCCTGACTTCAAAGGGTTATTTAAAATGAGATAAAAACTGTTTATTTTTTAGATAATTCACCCTCTAATCTCGAGGGCTTTCTTGCAGAAATTTCAGGTGTAGAACAATTTTTTTTCCATGCATATTGCTGTTTTGGTAGAAACAGAAGTCTAAAGTTGAGGTTTTTCCTGGAACCTCTGGAAAAAAGAAACGTACAGGCAAAATGTCTGACTGCATATTGCATATCTAACTGCTCAGACAAATCTCCTCCAACTTTTGACTCTCACTGTTGAATTCTTGCACAAACCATCCATATGTATGGAATGTCTTGCATGGCCATTTCCCATCTATTCAACACACAACTGCAGGGTAAATGCACATGAGAGCAATAACTTAGTGTACCCTGAGAATGACCCTGTATGGCATATGTACCTGAATGTGTTTTCCAAGCTACAGAATCCAAGAGTGGCCAACCTGGAGACTTGTTCCTTGTCTATGAGGAACATCTGAGCCCCTAACCCTTCCTGTGGAACACCAGCCAGACAGGGGATTGAGGCCCCAAGTTTGGGTTGAATGAAGGTTGACAGATGAAGGTCATTATACTAAGTGAGATTGTTATATAAATGCCTTTTGCAAGCCGTTGCAGTTCTTCTGCCCAGCCTGCCACTCTCTCCCCAGTATGTAAGCCCTAGTGAAACCTCTTGTCTTGTTTGCTGGCTCCGAGTCTCTTCTTCGGTCTCTTGAACGTGGTGCCATCTCCATTACAGTCAATAGAGGTATGGCACAACACCAAGATACACGTTCCAGGAAGTTTTCTGGATGGATCAGAACATGATAACTCGTTGCTTTGCCTTTATTCCAATGTGGTTTTTTGTTTTTTAAACATTTTTGGGAGGATGCATGTTTATATACTTATTTTACCTTGTGGAAATGTAGCTATGATTCCAGAGTAATCAAGGCTGAGAAAAAGCAAAAGGCTATCTGGGAGTTTCATAATACAATGTGAAGGGGCAAATATTCTCCCTCCCACTGGATGCTTGCAGGAATGGAGAAGACCCACGACAGCTTTGAAGATGTTAGCTATATTTAGTGATGACTGTATTTATATTTAATGCAGTCAGAAGTGGTTACACCAATCATGTGCTAGAGTCAGCTGGGACCAGCTTGCAAGCGCCGATAGTGCACCTCCCTTCTCATGCTGGTAGCTTAAAACTGGCCCTGGTGATATCGGGTACATCACGGAAATCAGCAAATGATGCAAGTCAAGGTTTTTGTTTGTTTGTTTTTGTTTTTAAACATAGCAAGCTCATTTATCAGCACTCTACCTTGTATATTCTTTTTAATTTTCCTTATCTATCTTTAACAGGTTTATGCTTTCTTCTACATTTTTTAACATATAGAGTGTTTTTATGATACCTATTTTAGTGTGTTTGTCTATTAATTCTATCCTCTAGGTCAGAGGCTGGCTAGCCATGGGCCAAATCCAGCCTACAGCCTGTTTTCATATAGTTAATATTTATAAGCTAAGAATGGCTTTATCCTCTTAACGGGTTGTAGAAAACAAACATCGCTAGCCACCAGGGCTGTAGAAAACAAACATCACTAGCCATCAGGAAAATTCAAATAAAAAACACAATGCAATACCACTTTCCACTTATTAGAATGGCTATAATAATAATAAAAAAAAACAGAGATAATAACACATGGTGAGAATGTAAAGAAAGTGGAGCCCCCATTCACTGTTGGTGGGAATATAAAATGGTGCAGCAGCTTAAAACAGTTTGGCAGTTCCTCAAAAAGTTAAACCACAGAGTTGCCATATGATCCCGCATTAGATACCTAAGTATAGATGCAAGAGAAATAAAATATGTGTTTACCCCAAAACTGGTACACAAATGTTCATAGCAGCATTATTCATAATAATTCATAACTATTTCCAAAAAGGGAATGACCCCAAATTCCACCAAGTGATGAGCAGATCAAATGTGATACATATCCATACAAGGGAATACTCTTCAGCAATACAAAGAAATGATGCATGCTACAACATCGATGAACTTTACAAATACTATGTGAAGTAAAAGATGCCAGTCACAAAGAACTACATAGTATCTGATTCCATTTATATAACATGTCAAGAATAGGCAAATCCACAGAGATGGAAAGGAGATTGGTGGTTGCCAGGGACTTGAAGGAGAGGCAGATGACTGATAATGTGCATGGGTTTCCTTCTGGAGTGATGAAAATATTTTAAAATTGATTGTGTGATGGTTGTACATCTCTGTGAATATACCAAAACCACTGAATGTAACACTTTAAAGAGGTGAATTCTATGGTATCTAAAAAGTAATTTTAAAAAAAAGCAGTCCCTACACTCTGGGATTTCTAAGACCAGTAAAGTAACCCCAAAACAAAGTTCAGGAATCTATTATAGATGCCAACTTTTCTTCCTTGGGGGTTGGAGTGGGGGAGGGGGACCAGTAAATGAGAACATTTAATGATCATTAAGCACCAATATAATTTTATAAGAGAAAGGACATTTTAACTCCTAAGGATTAATCAGGAATAAACAACAATTATTTAGGTGGAATAAATGTAGCTTCACTAAAAAATTATTAAGTAATTGTTGTAAGTAATTACAATAAGTAACATCACATTTAAAAAAATTTCCAATGCTCCTTGAAGCATAAAAGCATTTCTACTATTTTAAAAATCTTTTTAAAAAAGGACTAAAGTATAGAAATTTAGTTGCCATAAAATATGTTCTTTAAATTTTAAATTTAAATTTTATAGTCATGTCATTAGGTTAATTTTTACATGTATTTTAATTTATTGATAATAATGTAAATGAAAAATCTTAGTTGATAAAAACTTTATTCAAAACATATAAAGAACCATATAGTTCAAAACTGCAAAAATAAAAGACAATTTCTTGTAACTTAAAAATAAAGTATATATCTAGAAACCACCACATTAACATCTACTATTTATAATACAATCTCTAATTCAAAGCTAATCTTTGTATTTCTGTATTTTGCAAACTTTGAGCTAGAATCTTCCTCCCTATCCAACTACACTGTAATGTAACCCCATTGTTTTAACATTTAACAATACAACTTGGGTATTCTCTAACAAGCAAGAATATATACTATTGATCACTTCTACCCACCAAAATAAAAATAGTTCAAATGACTAGAAACTAATTTTACAAAAAACAAAAACAAAAACAAACAAAAAAAGCAGGTTAGTGAAACATTTCTTTTGAAAACAATGGGTGAATTAGTATTCTGAATTGAGCTAGAGCACATTTCTGCTTGAAGACTCTCCATATTAGGCACTATGCATTTATATAGTACAGAACATTTGCAAAATGCTTTTCACCATTTATTAGGACTCACAACACCTGGGTGCTGGGGAATAGCCGGATTACCTCAGTTTACACAGGGAGAACCAAGGCACACTGTGAGATCTTGCCAGGGCCAGAGTGAGACCTTATTAGCTTCTGACTTCTTGTAAGAAGAGTAAGATATTTCTTTGTGGAGGACATTAATTTGTTTAATGATAGAAGTAAAAGTATATCGGATTTGTTGTGGGAAAATTAGTTTGGGCTCCATAAATAAAAAGTTCAGAGCATGGATAAGGTAGAGATTTCACTGTGAAAAGGGTTAATGAGAAGTTAAAACCAGATATAAGGCTCTTTTCAGACAGATCACTTTTCAGAAATAAAAACAGCAAAATGAGAATAGGGAAAAAAAAATAGCTATAGAATTTCTCATTTCTAACCCAAGGGGCTTTGATAAAATCACTTTAAAAGAAGGATCTCTCTCTTAAAACAACCCTTAAACATCTTATTTTTCCCCCCTCATTAACCCCTGTGAGGTAGAGAGCACTTAGAAGGATGAAGCTAAGAAGTAAAGAAGTTAAGGGTTTAAAACCACATGGATAGTGAATAGGCTGGAGCAGATGTTATGTCTTAAAGCATTGACTTAGAAATAGAAACAGAGGTAGAGAATAAACAGGAACTTTTATGGATGGACAAGTGGGATAATCCAGGGACCTAGTAGCAACACCAGCTACTTAACATTTCTTTTAAAAAGGACTTGGAATTTCAAGTATGCAATGAGGCCTAAAATGACAAACACTTGTCTGGGTATTGAAATGCTCAGCTGAAGGGAATATATGCAATATGTTCTCATAAGATCTTGTGGGAAAAAGCAGAGGCATAAAAGAGCTACAACCTGGACAAGTGCAAACTAATGCATTTAGGACAAACTGCTGTTACCTCTAGTTAAAATATAATAAGCACTGAGCCATCAATAAAGCTTGAGAGAGGAACTTAATTTAGCCTGATCAACATGCTAGGGTAGGTTTTTTAAAAATACCAGTCATTACTGGAAAGGGTATTTAAAACCAAAACAATGGCGCCCATTCACTTGGAAAATCATGTACAACTCTGGTATTCATAGATCTGCTGTGAGTTATTAGGGGAAATTAACTTCTGGAAGAGACATATAAAACATCTCTTCATGGCTGACAGACACATCTGTAGTAGGATAGGCCACAGTTCTAAGCCAGCATAGCAAATCTGATGTTCTGGATCTCCAGAGAGGCTTTCCCTCAAGGTCTCTAATCAACTTTCACAGTCAAATTCCATACTAGGATAATAAATACAACCAATTTAGGTCATGGTACCAAGGATCCTGCTGGGTCATAGGGCACCTGATTATAGGAACTTTATAAATTGTATTGCTGGGAAAAACCACAAGAGGACAACTGTTTGGTTTCCCATCTTTCACTGCAGCAAAAGAATGATATAGCTCACCTGGGTTTTGTTTATTAAAGATTGTGTGGGATGGCATTTATAATCTAATCATCTTAAGTCCATGAGTGTATCTCCTTGGGTCCAGCTGATATGCCTCTTCTAGAAATCATGTGCTAGTGGCAGCTGTAAACACAGCTACAGAATGGGACCATTTAGGGGACAGTACCCTGCCCATTTTCAACTCGAAAATGTTGTTTTCCATAAATATATGTGGCAACAATATTCAAAATATCTATTCCTCTGAAATTATGGAAGTTAATCCTAAACCTCACAGCTTTTAAGACAACAGAATGTAACTAGTACTTTTTGATGCAGGGAGGCATGTCATTTGATATATATCATAACTTCAGCCCCCAAACACTGACTAGAATATTCTGGGGGAAGGATTAATGGAATTGATTTATTCATAACTAACGGAATGGAGAATGTTTTTATTTGTCAATGGTAGTTTTCTCTCTCCCTGAGGCCCAGAGGGAACTTATATGTCATTGCCCCAATTGAAAACGTATGACAAAATTTTCGATGTTCTTCTGAATTGTTTACGTTCTCTTTTATTTTTAGTCTACTCTGCTTCAAACTTCTACAGTCATATTAAACCTTGAGTAGAGAAGAATAACAAACATAGAAGAAAAAAACATAGAAGTAACCTAATGTTTCAAGTATTGAGAGAAGGTTGCAGGGGTGGGATTCTCTTGTACATGTGAACTGCAAAATGTTTTTGTGAGCTGCAAATTTTAAGTAGACATTTCTTGCTGTCTTACACATGCACACACATGTGCGCACACACATGTGCGCGCACACACACCCTTAAGAAAGAACAGGCTATCTGTCACTAAGGATAAATGCCAGTTCAACTCTATGCAGCAGTGTAGAGTATTAAAAGAGCTCCACTCCACCCTAGTGTGAAGGTATAATAACCTGTGAAATCTTTAACAAGTTCTGTTATACTTGATATAATTTTTAAAAATTATTTTGGCATATGTTAATCAGTCATAATACTTACTCTGGGGGTGCTTGCTTAACATCTGACATATCCTAATTGGGAATACAACTTCAGGGCTGTTAGCATTTGAAAAAAACTCTAGTCACTTCAGACACTACCACAAAAGCTTTATCTGTAGCTTAACACAGACTGTTAATAAGTAAATATTTCCAATGATCAAATTAATGGCATTAAAGATATGTGGATTGGCCCAAATATTGTAGGGCACCCTAGCCCTTCCACGAGCAGTATATAAGAATCTGACAAGCCCAGCAGTTTGGGATTTCTAACTTACTCTTTTAGAAGTGAAACTAAGAATTGACTCGGCTGACTGAATCTGCTAGAATATTGCTGGATTCACTTCTAATAACTCTTCCAGGTAGGATAATGTTGGGTTGCACAGAAGGACAGAATTGGGACTTTTTCAAGCTTACAGGACAGGTTGCATGACTGTTCTAGTGCCTGCTTGCTCATAAAAACACATGACAGCACTTGGTCTAAGACCTGATTTCAGTGTAAAGTATCACCTGGTGAGGTTGGGAGACCTATAGCCCTCACACATTTCTATCTACTGAAGGCTACCAAAACAACCTAATAATTGTGAGTGCCCAAACTGGCAAAGGCCAGGTTATAATTTTCTCTAGCGGAGGAAACTCAATACTTTTATAGATATAACAATATTAATCCAGTGATAGTCTACAGTTGAAATAAGCTTGCAAATAGCAGCTTCTAGTTTAACAGGGATGAAAGTCCCTCGTCCTGCTATAAGGTCTGCAAATGACTTCAGAAAGAAGGAAGGTCCTTGTCAGCCAAACACAGGAAGAAGAGAACCACAGAGCTGAGCCATGGGTGGGGACTGTGACATTTCTATTTGATGTTTTTCTATTCTTCTGCCTTTTTGGCTTCTTTCCAGTTGTCCAGCATAGGAGTGTCGCCACTCCTGGGAGTTCAATAAAGGTGAAACACACAGAGCAATGAGCATATTGAACAACTAAATTGAGGGAGAGATGTTAGAGAGAAGTCTGTGCCCACTAAAACTGAGCCAACTGAGATGGAGTGGTTATAATTATTTGGTTGGTTGTCTTTGTAGCTATGGGTAATCTAATGAATATGAGAGTCTGAGCATTTGGATTACCCATAGTAAAGTAAAAAAAAAAAAAAAAAATTGAGCATATGTACTTGCTTTTGTCAATAAACATTTCTTATGGTTTTATTCCATATACTCTCTTATATCTCTGCTTTAAAAATAATGTAAATGTACTCCCCACTCCCCAAAAGCAGATGTGAAAGAAGTAACAGCCAAATGATGCTCAGCATACCCTATGATTGTACAGTAGGGGAGTATGAGCCTGTCTATCCCCACAGGAGCTCCTGGGAAGAGGGCAAAACAGGAGTCTGGTTCTATTCCTTGAGATGATTCATGTAAGGTACTTGCCCTAGAACCCAATCCATATTACATACTCAATAATGTTACTTGCTATTAGTAGTAATTTTTAAAATAAGAGTAAATACTGGTAATAGTAACATGCATTTTCAATTCTAGCTAAAGCCTAAGCAGCTAAGATTCAGATAAAAAGCTTTTCACATGACAATTATTTGTTATAGTGAAAGGAATCTCTCTAACTTGGACTTGGCTATACGTGAATTCAATCAAACTGAATTTTTCATTTTGCCACTTGGTAATCCCTAAAGAAACTACAGTACTCTCAATACTGGCAAGGACCCTGGACATTTAGGTTCAATATGCAAAGATAATAGAGTAATAGGCATTTGTCAGTTTTTGAAGGAAAATTACAATTCTCCAATTCCCCATCCATTATCATCTTCTTTAACTCTCACAATTCTGAGAGGTTGCAAATGATACCCCAGACAGGTCGTGACTTGCCTGTTTCAATGGCTAGAAAGGGGTGAAGCTGGGAGTACCTTTTCTTCTGATTCTTGGTAAATGGTCTATCTTCCAAACTCCAGGGAATGAGGCTTAAAGGAAGGCTCTACTGTGAATTTTAGACTACTGTGAAAGAGGTCTTAGGAAATCATTTGCAATAGCAGGACGAAGAAACTATCTTGTCCCTTTTAGTAAACAAGCTCATAGGAAAGTAATGGGGAAACCAGTTCATTGTAGTTTTCAGCACATTTCTTAAGTATCTATTATGCACATGTTACACAGAAGCCTAGCCCAGGTAAGAATTTTCTATTAGATGCCCCAAAGAGCATGGACTTCTTATACCATTGCATGTGGTGTGTAAAGAACATGGTGATCTGCTACTGTAGCAACAATGCACACTCCTGGAGCTTGGGCTGCCTACAAAACAGGCAATAAAGGCTGTGCATTTAAGGTAAGCATGCACACCCCCACCAGAAATGCAAAGTTGCAACCATAAGTAGATAAGTGCTCTGGGGATTTATTTCTGTTTCAGAGTGTTTTACTAAACAATTTATGGGAAGAGTATCTAATATCAGCTGCGGATTATATCCCTAAACCCCAATCACTGACCTTTAATAATCTAACTTCCAAATTTAAATGGCATCGTCAAGTAGTCTAGGCTCCAAATTTAGAGATCAACAGGCTACTTTTGGATGGCAGTTTTTGGTAGAGAGGGCTGGTTGATCAAACCCTTTTAAAACTGCTTTCTATTTAGCCCAGTTTTTAGAGAGAACAGATGGAAGGCACCAGGATAAGCTATTATAGAGCTTATATGACCTGTGTAAAGGGCCAAGAGTTATACCATCTACCAGTATGTTAAAGAAGTATCATAGCTAACACAAAGGCAAGGAAGATAATTGAACTCACTGGCTGCAGGAGAGGTGAGACTACATCCTGAAATTTCTTTTCCATAACTACACTGAGAATTTTAAAAGGTAGACAGTGGGTTCCTCAAAGTATGGAGGGTGCTGAAGACAGGTCACAGGGCTCCTGAGAACCAGTGTTTCCAAATCCCTTTCTCTGGTGCAAATGAAGGCAGCTACTCCCCTGGGTCTATAGAATGCTTTTGTGAAACTAAGTCAACAATTTACTTCCCAGCAGGACCCTACCCTGGAAACCATCCCCAAGGCATTGACATTTTTGAAGCTTTCTAAAGGAGATGATGTACTACCTTATTGTGTCCATAACATCCAGTGTTTATGAAACACTTCCCTGTCAAGCAGAGCTCTGATCACAGCCATCCTCCTATTGGAAAACAAATGCCAGGATTCCTACACTTTCAGTTACTTAGCGTTGGCCTTCCAAATAATAAAGTTGAATATTTTCTTTGCTACAAAGGGCAGTACACTCCTACTCTGAGTAGCACAGTAGCAATGGGTGTCCTTGGAATTTACCCTTTGATCCTTACAGCTACAGACTTTAAAATTGCTCATTACCTAGCTAAAGCATTGAGTTGAAATTTAAGCATCCTTTCTCCCGGAGTTGCTGGTCACTCGGGTAAATGGGGGAGAATATATTTCTGCTGTAGAACTACCGAGATAATTTGATAAAGCATGACAACTAGAAAAAAGAAACAAACACACAAAAAAGAACTAGAGCCAGCACAACATAAATCATAACGTATCTTTGGCATCTCATTAGAAATCTGTGCTAACATTCTCCTCTACCATTGAAGTTTAGGTTGGAAATATACACTACTTTATGTATTTTATTGCTTATGTCACTCTTTCTTAAACACTCTTTGTAGTGTTTTCTATACCTTTGACACACCTCTAATCTTCCAGAACACAAAGTAAGATGCTTTCCTTAAGATGTGAGAGAAGTGATGGACATTCATGTGAAACTGCATTCCTTCCACCTCTGTCTGTAATGACCTCATTGCAATTATTACTGTCAATCTCAGGGATGGAAAGTTGGCAAAGGGAGATGAGAAAACTCAAGACAGACATTTACAGACACTAAAGAGTTGCAGGACACCCCAGTAGACAAGTCATTATATTATTTACTTTTTAGCATCTCTTGACTCTTGGTGACCAGGTAAAGTAGGGGAGAAGGGATAAAAAACACGTCAGTTTAACATACATGCCACATTGAAGTGCCTCTTCTTTTAAGTTTTCTAAATTTTCACCTGGCTTTTAAAAGCAGAAGTTATTACATGGTGACTTTCCAGCAGGCTTTTCTGAGGTAGATAAAACATGGATGATAAGTAGTCTGAAGAATGCAGAAGGGAAGGTAAAGACTATGTGGCTGGGATTCGTTTGAAAGAAATTTCAGAAGTGAAAGCTGAGCCTGTCATGTACAATACTAGAGAAAAGAGGAACAAGGTTAAAGGCTGTACAACATTTAAAGAAGGTTTTTAGAATTTAATAGGTGCAAAATAGGCTAATCTAGCTAATAAAGAACAGTATTGTAGGAACAGTGACAGAGCAAAAGAAGAGCCTTTGTTACATACAGCTAGTCAAAAGTAGGCAGAAAACAGAAAGATATGTATCCCTCAGGACCTCAGTGTTCAACAAGGAATATATATCATAATAACACAAGGGTTTAAAAGCAACCAACAGGCTTGAAGGTTTCAACGGCCTTTTGTTGCTGTTTTGATGAAAAACAAATTTTGCCTCTTTCCTCAGGCCTCTGTTTGTACACAGGTATTGTAATTGTATTAAGTATGTCAGGGAAATCCAAATCCCAGCTAAAGAATTAGTGAAATAGATTTTGAACTCATTTTTATGCCCATGTGAATTACAGATGAACAGGCTAGCATGCCTGAGACCCAACGAGGTTAATAGTACCAGCTGGGGCCTTTCTTTCTGGAGAATCACTGCAGTTATCACAGGCAGATGCCGTACTGTTAAATGAAAATGCCATTGTAGGCCAAATGTTAGCAGTTAAACACCATCGTCACAGAAACACACAAAGCTATAGTCAAGTTCACAAACACAGCTGGTGGTTAAGGAACCCTTAATGAAGAAAAGAAATTTGCTATTGGCTTTACGTCATTCATTAGGACTTCCAATACCCTTAGAGTGGGACTGTTCTATATGAGAGACAGTAAAACAACTATTGGCCTTAGTTTCTCTCCCCAATCTAAGAATAAACATTTGTTATAACGGCCATTGGAAAAAGAGAAAAATCACACATAATGCTCTCGTGGGTCGATGTAGACTCTCTTAGGGTCGTTATTTTGATGATGTTTGCCAGGGCTCCGGTCTTGGTAGCACATCTGATTGTAAAGGGGGTACATCTGCTGAATGCCATCTTCCCCAACTGGATTCTCATCTTCATAGTCAAAACTCCTGCTATTTAGTCCATTCTAAAAATTCAAACATTGCTTACATTAGCAGAGCAGCTGTTTGCATTTTTTCTAGCACTGGTAAAAACAGGCACGAGTAGAATTCATTACAGTTTAGTGTCCCTGATTCACCACCCCAAAAACTACTGAATGGCAAGATAAGTCCAACAACTTATATTTTCCAGTCATTTGTTGCTTACATTACCCTGAATAAGAATAGTAGTAGCTCCTAGATACAAAATTGTGACTAATGGAGACTGGGATCAGTTTCACATTTTGAAATTTGGAGTTGCTATCAGTTAAGGTAAACTGGAGAAGAACAGGGTTATAAACCTCAGGAGTCTCTAAAGCAAGGCTCAAGCTTGAAATGAACATACGAGGTATACAGAGAATTCAACCAACCAAACAAAAGAAACCTCGACTCAGCTCTGGGGAACTGGGGAAAGGACACAGAAAAATGAACTGGCATTTGAACATATGCCTGATAAAACTGAAAATAAACTCTGCCAAAAATATCGTCTTGTCTTGACCTTTCCTTCTGGCTTGACCTTGCCACAGCTAGCACTTATAAAATGAACCCCCCATGATGTTCTGTGGTGTCTCTGGTACAGATTCTTCTGCCCGTTATTGGTTTCATAAAACTTGATTACTTCTAAGAGTAAAATTCAAGGACTACCAGATCTTAGCAGAGACACTCCAATAGGGGAAAGATGAATAAAATGAACTTGTATAGAATTAAATGATATTTTAATAAGCATGTTAGCTACCAGCTCCACCTGGGCTGATAACCACAACATGGTTACTTACAGAGTGCTGAAGATTGCCAACTTCTCTTTCTTTGAACTGAGTCTGCAAAGGCAAGTGTTCAGGCTGGAAGAAAACACAAAAAGACATGCACTGTAAAACACATGGCAAACATATCAACCACTAAGATTCCTATTTTTAAAAGAGCCAATCATGTCTTGTTATAAATGTCTACCAACTAAGCAAAATGTTCCACATGAGAGTAAGAAAAGCAACCATATTTTTTAACAGTTTCACTCACTCTCTCCTGGCTCTTGATTTCTAGAAAGAAGAAAATATAGGATTGGGCACAGTGGCTCTTACCTGTAATCCTAGCACTTTGAGAGGCCGAGACAGGTGGATAACTTGAGGCCAGAAGTTTGAAACCAGCCTGATCAACATGTGAAACCCCGTCTCCACTAAAAATACAAAAATTAGTTGGGCGTGGTGGTGCACACCTGTAATCCCAGCTATTTGGGAGGCTGAGGCAGGAGAATTGTTTGAAATGGGGAAGCAGACGTTACAGTGAGCCAAGATCGTGCCACTGCACTCCAGCCTGGGCTACAGAGCAACTGAGACTTGGTCTTAAAAAAAAAAGAAAGAGAAAACATAGACAACATCTGCTGCAGAAGTTCTCATGCAAACTGGTTTACATCTTGTATGAGGGAGAGGTCACCACAGAAGGTCTCCTGTCTTTTCTCAGTGGAAGAGTCTGATATTTTGAATCAGGTAAAAGTGGTTTGGGGTGGTTAATGAGACATTATTTTTTTGTCTTTATACATAGATTTAAAGGATATATGATCATCCTTTTCTTGCTTGCTACTCTCCCATTCTTATCCCCACCCTCACCCCACATAGATTATAAAGGGAGTTCATTTTCAAACCTCACCCTAGGTAGAATTTTTTTCAGTTTTCCTCAGCTTACAAACACATGACTCACCCTTCAGACTTCAGTTCAAATATCACCTCTTTCACGAAGCCTTGCACAACAGCCTCGAGCAGAGATAGCCACCCTTTTCTGAGCCTTCATAGCATTTATTATCACAATTATAAGTCTACTTGCTTTCCCCTTTTCCAGATAGAGAGTGCTGGCTGAAGTGTTTCACAAGTATTATCTCACCTAATACTTCAACAAGACTAGTATCTTTATTTTACGGATGACTAAAACTGAGGCTTAGTTAAGCAAGTTGTCTCCAGTCACACAACTGGTAAGTGGTAAAGAGTGATTCAAATGTGGCTTTTTCTAATTCCAAATTCTGTATTTTTACATCCCTGCTTTCATTTTAGTGTCAGGAAAATAGATTTTCAGTCAATATAATAAAATAATGCCTGAATCAGATATGCCATATGCAGGCATATCTATCAACAAGCTCTGCATTTCACTATCTTTGCTCATACTGTCCCTTTTGGTTTGGAAGGACAAATTTCTGGGAGTAGAAATTCTACCTAGCCAACATGGGCTGACTAAAGTGATTTTCTTTTTTCACAAGGCTTGTCCACATTCCATCAAAGTTAATCTCTTTACTCCTAGTTTTCCTATTGTTCTTGTTTTTATCTCTATTACAGCACACATCATGACTGTCTTGTTTTATAGTCCCTAATGTTAACTTTCAACTCCAGTAAGTAGTGAGCCTTTCTTAGCCATTGCTAATGGTCTGAATGTTTGTACACTCCCAAAATTCATATGTTGACACCTAATCGCAATGTGAAAGTACTAAAAGGTAAGGGGCCCTTGGGAGGTGAATAGGGTATAAGGGTGGAGCTGTCATAAATGGGATTAGTGCCCTTATAAGGGATTGAAGAGATCAGAGTTCTCCCCTTCCTTCTTATGAAGTTATAGTGAGAAGACAGCCATCTATCAGGAATAAGGCCCTCATCAGACACTAAATCTGCTGATACCTTGATCTTGGACTTCCCAGCCTCCAGAAATATAAGAAATAAATTTCTGTTGTTTGTTAGCTACCTAGTTTACAGTGTTTTGTTACAGAAGCCTGAACAGACTAACATAGTCATCCTCCTCCATCCCTCTACCTTAGTGTGGGTTTGTGCAATAATAAGAATAGTTCACTAATGAATGTATTGGAATCTAAACTATCATCAATTCTTGATATTTATGTCAAGGTTATCTATGTTACAAATATGTGACATGTTCACTCCTCCTGTAAAAGTCAGCATAATTCTACAGTGCTTCCCACATGATGGGGTGATATTAACCAGTAAACACTAGTAGAAGTCCGGGGCAGGGCCAGTCATGGATGGATGGCCAATCATACAGGGCCCCTGGGGTTTAATACTTTTAATACTTTGCAGTTGCCATCTAAGATTTCTTAATAATTTAACCATTAATTTCTGTTGTAAGTGGTCTAACAAGACAAAAAAGCATGCTTCAGGGACTTGTAGGCTAGGCTCACAGGCATCCCTGCCTCCTGCTGTGTGGTTCTTGGCCACTGCTTCCCCATCTTGCTGCCCTAGGTCCTACGTGGCCTCCCTCTCAGTGTCCCCTCTCCACTGACTGCTGCTGTCCTCGGCCCAGGCAGGTGCCTGGGCATTGGTTCAGGAGCACATGCCCACAGTCATGGTGCATACGGCAGGTGCCTGGAGGCCATGTCCCAGTGAAGATGAGCCTCTCATTCATCCCCTATCTAGGCACCTAATAATGCCATCTTGACAGCCTTAATTTTTGAACATGGGGACCAACATTTTCATTTTTCACTGTGCCTCAGGAATTATGTAGCAGTCCTGGTCAAAGGAAATTAGACTTGGGAAAAAATACCTTATATTAAAATCAGCATTTTCATTTGTTTCTTTGCCGTTTATTATTCTCCATCCATTAATACAGATAATTAAGAAATGATTTCACATCACTCACTGCTGCATCTAACTTGACAAGAGGTGGTGTAATCAGAAGCTTCTCTGTAAAGGGGGTGGGTGTGAATTTTCTAAGCCATGAAAGAGTTAATCTATATTTTAAAAAGTGGTATTTGGATATCTTTAAAAAATCAAATTACAATCTCATTTCCTCCCACTTCAAGTTTCCCTTTATTACAATAATAAAACCTAAAGACATTTGTGTTGATTCTTAGGACAAGTCAGCAGAAGCCATCATAACCCACTACCTCTTTTACCAGCATGAAGGAACCTCTGACAGACAGGCCACAGTCTGCTCATACCATTTTCTTCAGCAGTCCCTCATGTCTAATAGTGTGACTTAATTTCTAAGTCTGACACTTGTAGAAAGAAAAGGCAATTTAAGTGATGTTCTAAGCAACCTTGGCTTCCAAGAAATAAACAGTAGCTACCAAATGGAGGGCAGCCAAAGATTTCTGGTGGTTGTTTCTATTCCTTAACAGTAGTACATTCATGTTGAAAAGTTAAAAAAAAAAAAAAAAAAAGGAAAAGAAATCTTGAACATAGTCTCTGATAACAATATGGTCCTTGCCTATTCCTCGTGGCAGTGTGGGGGAAAGCAGGGGTACAGTCAACACTGAAAGGGAGCATATTCTAGGAACACAGTGTTTATGGCCTCAACAGTTCAAGGGAAGATTTGGTTGGAAGATGTGCTGTTCTATGCTTATATTTAAAATTCCAAATGGTAAATTTAACATGACCGGAAAATAAATGATCATTCACACTTTGCTGGACACCCTGGGTTAAGACCTGTATTTGGTCATTACCTATCAAATGTGGTAACAACTTTCAAGTCTCTGGAAGTCAGTAATGCAGTGTCATAAGTAACAATATAACAAGTATTAATAGTATTTGGGAACTACATAAATGATCTGTCTATTCTGCTTCAATACAAACAGATTTTAAAGAGCCATAGCTTTATGAGTAATAATAACATTGCTGTCTTTTGCTCATGGTAGAAGATTTTTTTTTAAATAGCCAGAAGTGGTGCATTTGACAATCAGGACAAGAAGAGAAAGTTCTCAGGCTTGAACAGGAAAAATTGGTGCCTGGACACTACAAACAATCTTCACTTGCACTGATTGGACAATAAGTGAATGGGTAAGTTCCTTTTCTCTACCCCATATTCTGAATCTTCATTATTAAATCATCATAACTTTTGTAATCTAATATTTAATAAAATTGTGTATGCAGACAAAGACCCAACCCACCCTAGAAAAGGCCCTGAATTAGGAAGTGGGCTATGGAAAGCGTTATGTATCTGTTTCTGCACTGTGTGGCTATCTAATCTCTGATAAAAATTAGCCAGGCACACATCACCACGCCTGGCTAATTTTTTAAATTTATTTTTCGTAGAGACAGGGTATTGCTATATTGCCCAGGCTCATCTCAAACTCCTGGTCTCAAATGATCCTCCCACAGTGTTGGGATTATAGGCATGAGGTTTTTAAGAAACTGGCTCAGTTTCTTAAAACTAAGGGATTATAGGCTTAGTTTTTAAGAAACTGCCAAACTGTCTCCCAAAGCATCTATACCATTTTGTATTCCCACCAGTAATGAATGAGAGTCTCAGCTGCTCCATGTCCTCAACAGGATTTGGTATTTAAAAAAAAAAAAAATTAACAAAATATCTATGTTTGAAAAGTGTCTTAAATAATACTGTATATATATTTGGTGACTAATATATATGTACTGAATAAAACTCTAATACTTTAACTGATGGATACACAGCATATGTTATTCTATTATTCTTGTATCTTTTCCTAGAAAGTCTGGGGCTACTCTAAATCTGTAATACGTATTTCAACTTCTCTTTCATGTATTATCTTACAGCAATTTCTACTGAGTTATAATCCATATTCACTCTCCTGATTTGCTAAAGTCACAGAGGCTTTCATCCCTGGTTTCAAAAGTGTTAACACTAGTTTTTCAGGCTTGTTTTTGACTTTATTTTAAGTTCAGGGGTACATGTGCAGGTTTGTTACATAGGTTAATTGTGTATCATGGGGATCTAATGTACAGATTATTTCATCACCCAGGTAATAGGCATAGTATCCAATAGGTAGGAGTTGATTTTTTGTATAATGTGTAAGGAAGGGGTCCAGTTTTGATTTTCTGTATATGGCTAGCCATTTACCCTAGCACCATTTATTGAATACAGAGTCCTTTCCTCATTGCCT